GCCAGTTATGGAGACTTGTGTCGATTTTCATGTGCCCTCTGAAAGAAGAATCAGAGAGTCTGCATGTCATCTGCAACCTCATGTTTTTGTGTTCCTTAAACTGCTGTTGTACCTTCACTCCTGGAAACGAGGAAGCTCTCTTCTCCCCCTGGCTGGGAACCTTCCTGTACGGGTGGGTTGACGCGTTTTTGGTGATTTACCATCCAGCAGGGATCGTGCTCCCTCCCAGAAGCCCAGCAGGAGCTGACATCCGAGGGGCACCCATTCCCAGAGCGTGAGCAGCAGCTTCTGATTTTCTGGCTTCGTCCTCACCCAAACTTCGCCAGCTTTCCTTAGAGAAAACGAGTGAGGTATGAGTTTGCCGCTGCACGTGGCCTCCTATCCTGGCTGTTTTCCGCGTCTCTAGGAGGTGGGGAACTGAAATGCTGAGGCCTGATGGTCCCGGACGGGGTCCCCTGTCACAGGACGTTGTCTGAACCTCATTCTAGAAAACAACGACTTCTCGCCAGTTGTCTCCAGACTGGGGCCTTCGGCTGTTGGTGATGTGGCTGAGATTTCTGGTCTCCGGTTGTCTGACTGTCTGTCACCCTCTGTCTCCTCTTTAATCCTGACATAGAATCTCTAAACCGATGGCAGGGAGGCACTGAGAAAGTGGACGAGAGGAAGAAAGACAAGCGGCCGTTCTCAGAGCAGCAGGGACAGATCTTAACGTGAAGCTGGCGAGAACGCACGGCTCGGTTTTGTCTGTCTGTGCAGATCCTGGGCAGACAGACCCCACTCACGCTCAAGGGAGGCTTAGAGGAGAAGGTCGGCTTTGGGGCAGAGCAGAGCGGGTGCGGGGTCCTGGGGACCTGAACGCTGACGAGGGCAGAGCAGCACTGGGCCCCGTGGTGCAGGTGCGCAGAGAGGTGGGAGGAGCCTGCCTCGTGTGCGCCTGGGGCCACCCGTTCTGCAGACTGAGAGGCCGGGAGTCGGACACTTTACAAACCATGAAATATCAGCCCGGGAAGAGCCCCTTCCCCCTCACACAGCTCCGAGCAGAGCCCTCCGCTTGGCCCGTGGGCACCTGAGCTGTTGCCTCCCAGATCCCTGCGCCTCCTCCTCAGCCCTGCAGGGCGGGGGCCTAGGAGGAGGCTGAATCTCTGAATATTGGATATGTTTCTCCAAAATGTGAATGAATCAGAACATCTGTGCTGCTTTTTTCTCTCCATGATGTGCATGTCTAAGGTACCGGGAAGTGGACTCGGCCAAAACCAGGTGGAGCTTTATCAATCTATACTATGAAAACTGTAATCATTTAAGATACTCAGCAAATCCTCAGAGCGGCTTGAGTTTGTCCGTCTCTCTGAAACGCCTGCACTTGGAGGAGGCAGACAATACACACACCTGACTCCGCAAGTGTCTCCACTTAAGATCGCGTCACCTCGTGCAGGATGCGCGGTTATTTATGTTCCAGTCTGAGGGCCTGGAGGGGCTTCCCGTTAGCAGGGACGGAGCTGTTGGGATCAGAACATGCGCTGGGGAGAGCACATTGTGCACAGGGCGCCCACCCGGTCCCCTGTAACGGGGGAAACCTTTGTCCATCCGGTTCTTTGTCTGTGGGGCACTTCCCCGCCCTCTGCCCCGTGGGAGGACGGAAGTGGCCTTCAGCTCCAGGCGTCGTAAATTCCGATCCAACGGCTCACATCTGGAATCCCAGGGAGCTGCTGGTTTATGACAGTCAGAGGCGACTTTGCTGCCAGGGTTGGGAGGGGGTGCAGAGCCCCTGGAGCAGATAAAGGGCTGCTTTTAATTCTGTCTCGTCTCCCGTAACGCTTTCCTTTGAGGGTAGATTCAGGGCAGGCCTTTTTGGTTTTGAAACAGACATAAAAAGGCACTGGCCATGCGGCCAAAGCTGCCACCACCCCAGTTTAGGACCATGGAGGAGAAGTGCTGGCAGGCGGGTGCGGCAGTGACCTCGGACAGCTGAGCCGGCATCTGAGATGAGAAGCCACTTACCAGGTTCGTTTCTGCAGAGTCCCCACAAATCTGGCACCTGGGGGCCAAGGGGGACATTCCCTCTGCCCCAGCAGACTCCGAGTGCGGAAGACCAAGAACTGAGGAGGGAAAGGGCGTGGGGGGCCCAGCGTGGGGGGCCCAGCTGGAGGGGCTCTGGGCTGCCACACAGCCAGTCAACCCTTGCCCGGAGCCAGGCCTGGCGCGAGGACCCTTCATCCACGTCACACGTCCACGCTCAGCATCGAGGCGATTCCTCGGGCCTTGCCCTCTCCGTCTGTCCTTGTCCACCCACGGGACTGCTGAGGGTCTTTTTCTTGATTCCCTAGCTTGACGCTTGGTCCCCTCCAAGTCCCTGAGAATCTGTCTGATGAGGCAATCATGACGAGCGGTCAGTCCGCTCCTGCTGGCCAGGCCAGTGCATGTCAGGGTGTGGGCAAGGTTGAGGCAGTGATGAGCGTGTGGGGAGAGCAGGGGAGGTGGGCAGCGTGGGTGAGGCTGGAGGTTGGCCAGAGGGAGAGCTCATGGGTCTGTAGTCAGTGCCCTGGGGGAGGGACCCTAGCTCTAGGACCCCTGTCCCCTGGTGTCATATAACCCGCTGTCCACTCTGCTTGTCTGCCTGTACCTTTGGGAAGTGGAGGACGCCCCACAGAGGCCCCGAGTCCTCCAGTCACCTTCGCATCCTCGGTGACCCAAGATGCTGCTGCTCTGAGAGGAGGGATTAGAGACCAGGGTCTGAGGAGCGTGAAAGTCTTTTTCTCCCTCCCTCCTTTCCTTCCTTCCTTCCTCCCTCCGTTCCTCCCTCCTTCTTTCCTTCCTCCTTTTCTTCCTGTCTCCCTCTCTCTCTCTTCCTTCCTTCCTGCTTTCATTCCAAAACCCCGGCTGGGCACCCCCGTGTACCTGGCAGCCTGCCCCCCTCCCCAGTGCCTGCCCCTGAGGACCACTGGGGAAGTCTGCATCACGCTGACCCACGGCCCGTCCATGCTCCTCGGCTGCACCGTATCAGGGTCCCCTGGTAGGAAACACATCTGAGACGCAGACTGAGCACAACAGCATCAAAGAGCAGAGAGCGGAGAGGAGCACCCGACACCCACCACCTTCTAGATCCTTCCACCAGCCGCTTCCCGAGACGGTCAGGTGTGGGAGGCACGTGGTCTGCCTTCGACATTCTTGTGGCCCTGGCAAGTAAGGGGGCTCCCAGCTCCCCACCTGCTGTGTCTGTTTCCTCGCCAGTGTGAGCATATTTGGGAAATGTGTTTTGGCCGTGTGCTACGGAAGGTTCCAGCTTCCGTGTGTTCACATGAGTTGCACAGCAGCAGTGGCGGGCCTGGAATGCGAAAGGTTTGCATTAAAGAAACGACACAGATGAACATGGGAAGTTTATCCCTCACCCAAGGAGGAGCCCTGCTGGGCCAGGCGGCCTCCGAGACGGTGCCGATGGCCCCGGTTCCCAGCGCTCACGCCCTTGTGGTTTCTGCCACACCATCCAGGCGGGTCTGTGTGGCCAACAGCCCACCTGGTCGCAACGCCATGTCACTTCCAAGATCAGGTTGTAAGGACAGGTGGCTCACGTCTCGCTGCTCTCCGTCTCCTGGGTCACTGGCTGTGGGGGGGCAGCTGCTGTGTCACAGGACACTCAGAACCCGGGAGAGAATGAACCGTGGCCCCAGGTCTCCAGACAGCAGACAGCAGACGGCAGGGCCCGAAAGCTGCTGGCGACCCTGTGAGAAAACGGGGATGTGGATCTTGTAATCCCAGCGGGACCAGCCCACAGCTTGACTGCGACCCGTGGAAGGCCCCGAGCCTGAATCCCAGCTCAGCTGCTCCCAGCCTCCCGACCCAGGGACCTGAAACACGACAGGCTTGCTCCTTTAAGCTGTGAAGTTCGGGGCAATTGTTGTGCGGCCACAGAAACCGTTACAAGTTGTGGTGCCATTAGTGGGTGACACCACGGCCAGCTCCACAGGGTGGGGGCCTCTGGAACCGACAGTGGGCAGGAGCTGAAAAGCCTCTAAGGGTTTTGCGGAGTTAGGGAATGCTCAAACTCTTAAAGTGCCTGGAACACCTGTTTTTAGGGTTTTGGACTTTAAAGAGGCCGCCAGTGAGGCCTTAAAGGAAAGCGGAGAAAAGCTCGCGGGAAATGCATTGTAGGAAAGGGCGTCTTGCGCAGCGGCAGCAAGTCGAGCGACGCTGTTGCCTGCCGCAGCGGAAGGAAGGTAGAAACTGTGCTGCGGGAGCTGGGGGATCCGCCTCGGGAGTCCCAGCAGGTGGCTGGGGGGTGTCCTCAGTCCTCTTTGCTCTGCTGCGAGAGAGAGTGGGCCGGGACCAGCCAGACGAGGCCGGTTCAACCAGAAAGGACCAGGATTCGCCGGGTTTGAGAGGCCCAGCCTCTCCCGCAGGAGGCCCACGAGGCTGAAGTAAAGACGTGGCTTCTGAGCAAAGAGCAAACCCACGGCGCAGGCTTGTGGGAAAGCGAGGTCTGAGGAGCAGCCGCAGTGTCAGGGTTGAATCCCTTCCTGAGATTCCGAGGGATCGGAGTGGGGCCCGGAGGATGGTTGGGTCAGACAAACACCTTCCAGGGGATTGCGGGCGCGTCCGGCAGTCCTCACAGGCCAATGCTCCAGCTCCAGGAGACGCTAGGCATCACCCTCCCACCGCAGCAGACACCCAGGAGACAGAGCGATCACCTCAAAGAGACCGTGAACTTGGTGTCTGACCAATGGAATGAACTCCAAAAGGTCCACAGGAGACCCACGACGTTGTTAAGACTCGAGCTGCTGCTGTGACAGGATGAGACTCTGGGGCCTGGAGGGCGTGGGCGCGTTTGCTCATGAGAGGGAGCGGATCATGGCCAGAGGGCAGCCTGTGCCCCCGTGATGTCTGCCTCCTGGTGTTCAAACCCTCGTGCAGGCTCCCCATGTCCTTCTAGGGCTTGTCTGTGCACCCAACAGACTGTCACAGAGGTGACAGTGTGGCCCCAGGTCGAGGTCATAAAAGACACTGCAGATTCCATCTCTTGTCCTGAGGGAACCCAGCTGCCACTCCTGAGACACCACACAGAGGGGCCTCGTGGGGAGTGACCAGGTGACAATGCCTGAGATGCTGCACGGAGGGCCTCATGGCGGGTAACTGCGTGGCCCGAAGCCAGGGAGGAACCTCAAGGGGCCAGCAGTCACCAGGGAGCGTGGACATGTTCCCAGAGCCCGGGTGAACCTTCCAGGGACCACAAACTCACGGCCATGCTGTCTGCAAGTCCTCACCTCAGACGCATGGGGTGGTGAACATTCGTGGCTTGAGGCTGCTAAGTTTTGGGGTGAGTTTTGTGCTGCCACAGATAACTGACCCGTCGCCCCGCTGGCCTGAGGGGGAGACAGCACACGTGGGAGCCCAGCCCGGCTCAGCTCATGCTCCCTGTGAGGAAGCTCACCCGGGAGTCACACCTTGTGCCAAGACGCTACGAAGTGTGGTCAGCGGGGCATCCAAGGGCAGGGATGGTCTGGAGAGAGCTGGCCTCTCTGCTGGAGAACCAGACAGCTTGGCGAGTGGCTGGGGGCTGGCACTGGGGAGGTAGCTGCCCGGTGTGCAGGGAAGGCCCTGGTCCCCCCACTGGCCTCCTCGAGGCATCCCGCGAGGGCCAGGGGCTACTGAGATCTCAGGGAAGGCCAGCCCACAACAGGGCACCGCGTCGACCTCGAGGGGGTCAATGGGGGCTGTCTCCTCCAGCAGGCGGTGGCCGGAGCAGGGACTGACCTTGGGCAGCTGGGGCAGCCCTGGCAGAGAAATAAAGGTGGGGTGTGGTGCCAGGCCCAGAGGACCCACTTGGTGTCCAGTGGTGTGGCCGCATCACCTGCTCCCAGCCCAGAGAGGCCTGGAGACGGCCTTGGACACGCGGCTATACTCAACGCTTTCTGGGTTCGTCCGTTCAGATGTCTCTGGAGGAACAGCAGTGGCTCACCCCCTTGAGACTGCACTGGTGGGGCCGTGTCAGGGCCGGCACTGGACTGGCTCCACTCAGTCCTATGAGGAGCATCCTGCCGGCGTCACCAGGGAGCTTTGAAGCCATCACCCGTCAGGAGCCGGGTTCAGAGGGGAGGTCAGCCCATGGGGGACAATCCAGAGAGCACAGAATAAGGGCCAACATGGGGAGGAGAGCCTGTGGCTCCTTAGGAGCTCACAGCTCCTTTGTTCGCTGCACGTCCTCACCAGCTGAGGAGGCGTCTGGTGGGAGTAGAGGGAAGACCGTGGCCTCGTGTGTGTCCTCACCAGCTGGGGAGGCGTCTGGTGGGAGTAGAGGATGAACGTGGCCTCATGTGTGTCCTCACCAGCTGGGGAGGCGTCTGGTGGGAGTAGAGAATGAACGTGGCCTCGTGTGTGTCCTCACCAGCTGGGGAGGCGTCTGGTGGGAGTAGAGGATGAACGTGGCCTCATGTGTGTCCTCACCAGCTGGGGAGGCGTCTGGTGGGAGTAGAGGATGAACGTGGCCTCATGTGTGTCCTCACCAGCTGGGGAGGCGTCTGGTGGGAGTAGAGAATGAACGTGGCCTCGTGTGTGTCCTCACCAGCTGGGGAGGCGTCTGGTGGGAGTAGAGGGAAGACTGTGGCCTCGTGTGTGTCCTCACCAGCTGGGGAGGCGTCTGGTGGGAGTAGAGAATGAACGTGGCCTCGTGTGTGTCCTCACCAGCTGGGGAGGCGTCTGGTGGGAGTAGAGGGAAGACCGTGGCCTCTGTGCGTCCTCACCAGCTGGGGAAGCGTCTGGTGGGAGTAGAGGGAAGACCGTGGCCTCGTGTGGGTCCTCACCAGCTGGGGAAGCGTCTGGTGGGAGTAGAGGGAAGACCGTGGCCTCTGTGCGTCCTCACCAGCTGGGGAGGCGTCTGGTGGGAGTAGAGGGAAGAACGTCAGCCTCATGGGTGGCGGCCTGGCTCTGCAGTCTCCGCCGTCGCTCAGGCAGCGTTCAGTTCAGGATGGGCCAACAGTCGGGAAACCGTTTGGGGCTGTGAAGCTGAAATGAGGAGGTCACCTGGGAGGCAGCCACCAGCGACCAGGACTCCTCGGGAGCAGAGGGAGCCACGGAGTGACCTGCAGCTCCCCAAGATGACCCCGCAGAGCCCCAGACCCGTGTCCAACCTCGGCGTAGGCTCCCTCTGACTCGAAGAAGTGGGGTGGGCGTTCCTTGGACCATGTGCTCACTCGCCCATTCCCATCGGCCGCTCTGTGTCCTCGGCACAGCGATGCCATGGGGCAGGTGGCCCCAGCTGCTCATTGTGGTCCGGGTGCCATTTGCAGGATATGAGGAGCCGAGTAGGTCACACATACTTCCGCTCTGAAGCTCTGCTGGTGCAGGGCCTGGTGGGCGACCTGTGGTCCTCGGCCAGGGCCCGGCTGTGTTGCCCAGCGCCCGCACGGCCTCACTCAGAACCAGCGCTTCCTGAAGCTCGGCCGCCAGCCTGGGCGCACCTGTGTGTGCTTGTGTTATTTCCCCGAGAGCTGGCTCTCGATTAAAGGGCCATGTGAGGCCACGAGTTCTGCTTGCGGGCACACACCTGTGGAGGATGGCGTGTTTGACAGCAGGCAGGCTCCTCGTGCCCAGTGAAGCCAGCTGTCACAGAAACACCGTGGAAAATGTTTCCCTGAGAAAGCTCCTGTAAATGACAACATGGGCGTTTCTCCCAGTGTCTGAGACACTGTCCCCCCGTGGAGGGGGGTGGTGGGGCCTGCAGCTGAGCTCCATCATCCACGCGCCTGGCCAGCATGGGACGCCTCCTGGTGGTCATCACCAGATGAGGAATGGCCACTCACCCTTCATTAACAGCACTGGCTCTAGGGGACCGTGGCTTCCCCATTGTCCAAGGACCCTGGGAAGTTCCACAGTCATCAGAGCCTTTTATTTTCTTTTCAAGCATTTTGACAAAATGCCACAGAAGGAGGGGTTTCCAGCCTCCCCGGGCGGCCCCCTCCGGGTCTCAGCTTGGCTGAAGCAACTGGAAAACATTCCCGGAATCTTGGCCTCGAGGGAGGGTGAGGAATGTGCAACTACTTATGAAATGCCGATGCGCCGGCTGCCGAAGCCCTTCCGGGCTGCTGCTTCGAGCCCCTTGCTCTGGGCTGTGCGTTGGCCTCTGCCCCTGCACCGCCCTGAGCTCGAGGGAGGCCTGGCCACAGCGCCCATGGCGTGCAGGGCCAAGGCGCATCCCACATCCTCCTCAGTCCCCTGCGTCCTCCACCATCCCCTGCATCCTCCTCAGTCCGCTGCATCCTCCTCAGTCCGCTGCGTCCTCCTCAGTCCGCTGCGTCCTCCACCGTCCCCTGTGTCCTCCTCAGTCCCCTGCATCCTCCTCAGTCTGCTGCGTCCTCCACCGTCCCCTGTGTCCTCCTCAGTCCCCTGCATCCTCCACCGTCCCCTGTGTCCTCCTCAGTCCCCTGCATCCTCCACGGTCTCCTCTGTCCTCCTTGGTCCCCTCTGTCCTCCTCGGTCCCCCAGCCTCGGCCCTCAGTGAGCCAGGTCTCAGCTGCCACAGAATGGAGGGCGAAGTTGCCCCCAAAGACCCTGGGGCCTCACAGGCATCTCTGAAGACCCCGTGGATCCCCCATGGCAGAGCTGTTCTCTGAGGCTTCCTCTCAGGTTTGAGGCCTCAGTGGATCTGCAGCAACAGGCCCCCACTTCCTGGGACATCTCCTGAGCATGAGCCAGGGGAGCAGGGCCAAGACGGAAGCCAGTCCCCTCAATACCTATGGCTCCTGCTGCCCGCTGCCCGCCACCGGGAGCCCTGGCCGTCCCCTCCAGCCTGGACCCGGCAGATATTGCCTGGACTTGGCCAGACGGCTCCTAGAAGCCCAGGTTCCCAGTCCTAGAGCACCGCTGTGGACCCGTTTTCCCTGGGGAAGCAGAGGTGCTCTGTAACCGGCACAGGCTCTAGGCCATGGGCACACAGCAGTGAACAGACAGACAAAACTCCCATTTCCTGGAGTCTACACTAACAACGTAGAGAAGAAAAGTCACGTGATCGCCTCGTAGAAAAACATCTGAGAACATTCAGCGTTCATCCATGAAAAGAATTCTCAGCAGACTAAGAATAGAAAGGCATTTCCTTAACTGGATAAAGGGTCTCCTCAAAAACCTCCAACAAATATAGCGCTTACCAGTGAAACAGAGGGCGTCCCTCAAGACCAGGAAGGACAGCGTGCCTCCCAGCACCACCGTGCTTTGACATCCTAGGAGAGGTCGTGGCGGTCGTATCACTCGTGAGAGAGAGAGAGACAGAGAGAGATAAAGAGGACAGAAAGAGACAGAGAGAGACAAAGAGGGATAGACAGAGACAGAGAGATAAAGAGAGACAGAGAGAGAAGGAGAGAGAGAGAGAAACAGAGAGACAGAGAGAGAGAAAGAGAGGAAGATGAGAGGGAGGGAGACAGAGATCATGAGATGCTAGATAATGACTGGAAAGGAAACAGGGAAAATAGATCATCACAAAGGTCTAATTATAGAAATCAGGGGGAAAAGGAACAAAGTGAAAGGGAAATAATAATGATAAGAAACAGAAGATAACAAAGACAGAAAATCCAAAAGGATTTGCACAAACATTACTAGACGTAATAAGATGTAGCAAGTATGTTGGACGCAAACCCAATACACAAAATCAACTATAACTCTACATCCCAGAAAAAAAAATTAGACAATTTAGATATCTACAAAAATGAACCAGGCTATTGAGGATAACATTTTAAAGCTTTACTGAGACGTTAATAAAGACCTAAATCCAAGGAGAGATCACCATGGTGACGGAGCACAAAACTGGATCCTGTGAAGACCGCGTCCCTATGGGTCTACGAACCGGTGCGATTCCCATCAACACCCAGCAGGTTTCTCTGTGAAATGTGACGAGCTGGTTTTAAAATTCACACTGACGGGCAAAAGCACAAGAACAGCAAAAATCAACCAGAAGATGAAGAGCAGGCAGGGGACACTCCCCACCAGACAGCACGACCTCCTGTCAAGCTGGGGCCACAAGGCCACGTGGTGCCAGTGCAAGGACAGACCACAGACCAACAGGGTGAGTGGGGAGCGGGACGCTGCCCCACTTGCACACGGGTGGGTGACCTTTAACAAGGGATGCTGCAGGTGGGCTTCCCAGTGAGATCCGGGGAAATCAGTCGTCTCTCAAGAAAAAAGTGAGTTGAGCTTCTAGCTCACACCACATGTAAAGATAAACCCCAGCTCGTTAGAGCCGTAACGTTAAAACAAATTAGAAGATTGTGCAGGAGAATGTACTCAGGGCCTTAAGGTCTGGAGGAATTTGTTAAACAACTCAGAAAACACAGACCTTCAAAGAAAAGACTGACATCTTCACCTGCATTAACCCGCAGAACATCTGTTCATCATGGAGAGTCAAGGGTCAAGCCACGAGGTGGGAAAAGATGTCTGTAAGGTTTGTAACGAAGTACCAGTATTGAGAACACGTAAAGAGCCCCACCGTTCAATAAGAAAAACGGAAACGCCCCAGTCAGCACAGGATGTTCCACCTCGTTGATAATCAGCTACGTGGAAATTAAAACCATACTTGGATGTTATCACTTCACACCAACCGTTCTCGCAAAAATTAAAAAGTCAGGCAAGTGCTGTGGAGAACACAGCGCTGGGAGAGCTCTCGTCCTCAGCAGGCGAGGAGGAAACCACTCAACCGCGTCAGAAAACCGCCACAGCGTGGTGGCGTCAGACTCCCAGACGCCAGGGCCCCGCACGCCGCCGGGACGAGGGCTCCTGGGATATTTGCCTCAACAAGCGTAGAGCATCCTTGCTCCAACCGCAAGTCAGGGTGGGGGTTTCACCGGCAGGAGAAGGATGAAGACATCGCCATCCGTCACGCTCGACGAGGTGTCGGTGAAACAGAGGCAAGTACCGACCGATGCAGACGAGCCTGCTCTGCCCTATTGGGTCACATCTCCTCCAGGAGCTAGACGCCCACAGTCCCGGCGTCCACGTCCGCTGTGCCGATGCTCGTCACCAGGGCTTCTGCCGAGAGCACACGACACGTTCCCAGCCCTCTGAAGACACCAAGACCTCGCCTTGCCCTGCAGCACCCCGAGAGGGGCCGTGGAGCAGGGATTCGGAGCACGGGGTCTGGAGCCAACGCTGGGCCCGCCTCCTGCCCCTCCAGGGGGAAGGCCCACCTTGTGCAGCAAGGGTCACACCATCCAACTCGTGAAATTTGCACTCCTGCCATGGCACCACTCCAGCAGCATTGCCTGCTGTCACCCCAGGGTCCGGCCAGAGACGCTGACCAGTGTGGACCACGAGAGGTGGGGGTATCTCCTTTGTTGATCTGAGGGTCCCTTGCTCTCCAGGCTGCTCAGGGATGCATCAAGGCTCTTAAGCAGCCGAGTCACACAGCTGTCTCTTGGTGAGCTTGTGGCCCACTAACTCCATCAGATCTTTTTCACAACACTGTCAAGCTAGGCCTTCCTGCTCCTCTACTTGAGGACTGAGTGAGCCGGAATGCATGACGGCTGACTTCTCCCTGTTGGGTTCTGTCTTGTTAACTCGGGGCCTTTTCTCCTGGCGGTGAAGTCGTTTTGGATCTGGACTTCAGCACCCAGTATACTCACTCTCCTGCTTCGTGTCCTTTGCATGTTTGGTCAGCATGATTCTGGGTCTTCATCCAAGTTGTGGACGAAATGAAACGAGGAACAGGACCTTCGGTGGTGCTGACTTCCTGTCGTCCTCACGGCCTTTCCTCGTGGTGGCGTCCCCATCCTGCGTGTGCAGACCCAGAACGGGCACCTCCTCTCTCGCTCCGCCACCCTCCCCAGCTGGCGTTTCACATGTGTTAGGGGTGAGGATGGGGCTGGACGTGGGACAGGACAGGTGAGGATCAGGTCAGTGTCGGCTGCGTGGGGTGGGGGAGACGCGGGGCCAGGCCGTGGGACGAGGGTTGTACCTGGGAGCACAGCGCAGACGAAGTCTTGTGGAAGGAAGCAGGTGGGGAGGACGCTCTCCCCATGAAGGCGGTGGGGGCCACGTCCTGGGCCCTGACCACGAACGCGATTGTTGGGACCCACGCAGCGCATGTGGGATTGTCATGGGCTGTAGGAGAAAACAGGGGGAAACCGTGTCCAGAGAGGCTTCCAGGAGGATCGGAGGAGGAGGAAGGAGTCCAGGCTCCTGGCAGAAGGACAAGTCACCCGGGGCCGGGAAGAAAGCAATTCTGATGTGACTGAAGGACTCAGGGCCCCGGAGGAGAAGCGAGGAGCCCGCACACCCACGAGTTCCTCCGGCCCGCACATCCTCTGCTCGGACCTGCTGTGGGAGGGTCTGCAGGCTGGACACGGGCCAGGGGAGGCCCTGGGCAGAGACGCCGACCCGAGGGCCAGGTGGGCCGTGTGCCGGACTCAGCGCCACCCCAGGGATTCCCTCCGGCATGCGGGACCTGGGGTTTTCCTCTCGCACAGCTGAAGTTCCGGAACAAACCCTGAGGGATTCTGGGACGTGGAAGGTCCCACAGATGTGGACAAACTCTGGAAGTGACGCCGCCTCCAGGAGGCTGGTCTGGGGCCCGGAGGGTGTGTGCCAGGACGGGACTCGACTTCTCGTGAGGCGAGGGGCTGGGGGCGGAGGGCCGAGGTGGGCTGAAGGCAGCCACGAAGGGCGTGTCACTGCCTCACCTGGAAGCTGTGAATGAGAGCAGGCTGGGAAGTCTTTCAGATGTGATCCAGTTAAGGGTCTTCGGATGGGAGCTTCCTGGATTACACAGGCCGGCTGTAAATCCAGTGACAGCGTCCTTATGCGACAGGCCCACAGACACACACGGAGGGGGCAGGAGGGACCCTCCCCTGGGGGCCCCGGAGACGGCGAGGCCCTGTGACACCTTGATGTCAGACTTCTGGCCCCAGAGCTGAGAGAGGACAAATTTCTGTTGTTTTAGGCTGTGAAGTTTGTGGCCTTTTCTTACAGCAGCCACAGGACCTAACACCTGAACGTGAAGGAGAAAGTTTCCAGCTAGAACCTCAAAGCCCCACGAAGGACGATACCCACCACCCAGCCCGCGCCCTCGAGCCGGCAGGGCTTGCTCAGAAGAAGCGCATCTCAGAGCCGACAGGGACCCGCCACTGCCTGGGACTGTGCAGGCCGCAGGTTCTCGGAGCCCTGAATGTGAGGTCAACAGTCACGTGCGGAGAAATGTGAGCGTTTTCCCAGAGAAGGGCCTGTGGTTCCCATGATGTTCCTGAAGGAAATTGGGGCCCTACAGTTGTTGAACTGACTGCACAGAGAGAGGCGAGAAACATGTGGGCTTCTGCATCTGTCAGCACAGGGGAAACCTTACTATCGTGAGACGCAAGGAAAGATGCGTTCTTTGCTGAGAGTCAGGCTGACACTTTCCTTCATCAAAACTGCCCAACTGCTGGGAAGCCGGCTGGGCCCCGGACCTGTGAGGCGTGGTCTGCAGTGAGATGGTCTGTTGTGGGGCAGAGGCTGTCCCCAAGGGCGTCTGTCACCCCCAAGCCCCAGGGGAGCTCTCTGCGGGCTCACGGGTCTTGGTTTCACCCAGGGGGTGGAACGCCACGCGGCTGCACACAGGGCCGTCGCCCCGGAAACGTCAGGCTGTCAGCAGCGCCTCCTGTGACAGCATCCTCTGCTTCATTTCAATGTTGTTACAGGCTGTCTGTGTGACGACAAAGCTGCAGGCCCCAAGACAGAGAAAACCATCTGGCAGCTGGTCCTTCTGATAAAAGACCCAAGAAACCGCATAGATCGTCAAGGAGGGAGACCCGGGAGAAAACCCAGGTGCCCGCCACTCCAGCGCCAGGGCCACCGGGGTCCCCCAGAGGCACCCCATCAGCCGTGGACCCGGGCGGGGCTGTCTCCTGCTGCCCCCGTCGCCTGGTCAGACAGACTGCGTGGAACCGCAGGTTAGACGGGGCGCGAGCTAGGAGCTCCTCGCTTGCTGTGGTTGTTCACGTGTGTAAAGGTCTGAGAGACAGGGCACAGGCGGGAGGTCCCGGGAGGGGGCAGGGGTGGGGCAGGTGGACGCTACACACGGGGAAGGTGCCTGGAGTGTTTGTCGCTGGTTAATCAGCTCTTACACCCCACGGCCAGGCCTGACCACACTACTTCCTCCGGCTCCTGGCAGACCCATCAGCGAGGGGAGGCTGGTGCCAGTGCCGGGGGTGGGCGGCCACCCAGCACAGCCCTGGGCAGTGGCCCCAGGTCCCCACAGGCCGCAGGAGGGTGGTTGGATCTTGGCTGCTCCCAGGAACTGGCTGACCTGTGGTCTGTGTGGAGGTCCAGCTGGGTCAGCCAGGGAGGTCACTCCATGGTTTATCGCCGGCTGGCCGGACTTCAGAGGGAGGCGCTGTGCCAGACGTCGAAGGCGCTGCATTCCCAGCAACGTGCTGGCTCTTCTGAGCAGCTGAGTCCAGTGGGACGTGCGCCCTGATAGGGCCCAGCTGCGGAGGCTGTAAACCCACGAGGCCGCCTTGCTGCCATCCACGCTAACAGTCGTGGGTCCCAGCCAGTGCTGATGGCCTGTAGGACTGGACACGGCCTCTTCCAAATTGGCACCTGGCCTCAGTGTGCCAGACGGGGACAGCGCTGGGCCAAAAGCTGACCCCTCAGGGCCATAAGGAGGACTGGGCATCATCCCGCTGGACATCCACCCTCGTGTGTGCCTGGTCCTCTCAAAGGATGGTGTGTCCTCATGCTGGACATCCACCCTCAAGTATACGTGGTGTCACCTGGTGACGGCATACAGGGGTAGAAGGAATTTGGGAGACAGCTAGTCAGCCCCTGGGTCTGAGGGTGGGACTTCACTCAGAGGCTCTGCCCGTCGAGCTTGCCTTCTCCCGTTTCCTGGTCCCTCCTACTCTGGGGAGGCAGTCATTACGTGTGACCGGCAGCCCGATGTCCCCTGTGAAGGTCTTTTGTGTGGGGACTCCCCAAGCAACGGGGTGAACATCCTGTGAGCAACGCCCCCACCCCACAGCGTCACTCTGCACCGGGGGGGCCTGGGCATCAGCCGCCCCCAGGAAGACAGTGGTCACGGCCAGACGCTCAGGTGGGCAGCACAGCTCTCGTCTGAGCCCAAGGGGAAATGGACTGCCTGACTCAGCTGGGGGTAGGCCCGTGCCAGGACAAGCAGCATGGGACTCGACTCAAGGGAGGGCCTGGGACAGTGGGCACGTCCTGGCGTGTGGAGGAGTCAGTGGGTCCCAGGCTTTCCATCTCCATGGTCAGGTTTCACGGGACTTCGCAGGAAGGAGCTGCTGCCACAATTCTTACAAACCTCAGGTCGTCTTCAGAAAGCAGCATCAGGTGGGGCGTTTGGACGCACAGGAGGAGCCACACCGATGGTCCCACAGACGGAGAGCTTGGGCCGGGCCCCAGACTGGGCCTCTCCCTAGAGGAGACCAAGAGGCAAGAAAATGGAGGCCCCAGGGAGCCGCACACTCGAGATGGGTGAGAATCGAATCCCGGTCAGCCTTGCCCTCCCACTCCAGCCGGGTCACTGGCATCCTCACCCCCCAAAGCCCAGCAAACACCACACCGCACCTGGGCTCCTGTAAACGTGGTCCCTGCAGTGTTGGGGTGTGCTCACAAGCGTGCATGGTGTGTGCCTTTTCCTGCAGTGTTGGGGTGTGTGCATGAGCGTGCATGGTGTGTGTGCATGTGCCTCTCCCTGCAGCATTGGGGGGTGTGTGCACAGGCATGCATGGTGTGTGTGCGTGTGCCTTTCCCTACAGTGTTGGGGCGTGTGCACGAGCGTGCATGGTGTGTGTATGTGTGCCTTTCCCTGCAATGTTGGGGGGTTGTGCACGAGCGTGCATGGTGTGTGTGTGCATATGCCTTTCCCTGCAGTGTTGCTGGTCCCAGCGTCTCCTCCTGACGTGGGTTCGAGTTAGCTTTTCATCTATAACCCAGTAGATGAGGCAGGAGGGGCCCCAAGACATTCTGGTCAGTGTCCCAGACCCCGCTTTCTGGGATGCTAGGCCCCAGGCCGGGCCCGGACAAGGCTAGGTGGAGATACTTCTTCCCATGGCTCTTCCGTCCACAGGGCGGGTGGGTATCAGCGTGGTTCGGGGTGGCCCAGGGCCTTGTCCTGAAGGTGTGTTTGCAAGGTCAGCACCCTTCTGACTTAAATGGTCTGTTTATCTGGCGCCTTTGGGGGCTGATGAGACTCGGGGCTGAGGAGACCCCACACCGCCCGCCGGCCCAGCAGTGCCCGTGGGTTTGCTTGGGTCCCTGGCATGATTGAAGGAGCTCACAGTGGCTCGCTTGGGGCACTTGCAGGCCTGGGCATGCAGGCAGGTTCTGGAGTGAGTGCGGGTCGTGCCCAGCACTCGGGGACCTCTCTGGAGTTCACAATCCTCGGTGCTCCTCACCCCCAATGCTGCTGCTCACACGGCGGACGGAACGTGGCCTGGCCGCTCCCCTCCACGGGTGTCCCCAGGGTGCCCTGCCAGGCACACTGCGGTGCCAGCCCTGACCTGGAGCGAGCTGCCGTTTCCCACCCTCTTGCTTGCCTTCCTCTGAGAGCAAACTCTAGTTCTTTCTTCTCGGCTGAGGGATCAACAGAAAAAGCTAAAATGAGGCAAAGAGATAGAAGAATCTCCAGGGCGGACCGTGGAAGGAAAGGACTTGCTTTCATGACCCGAGAACGCTGCCTGCACTAAAGAAACTTCGCCAGAAAAGCCAATGTTTTCACTCATGGCACAAAGTACAAAGAATGCAAGCACATGCTCATCCTGAGGCCGGGGCTCCTGCAGGAACACGAGACCCGCTGTTCCTCCCAATGAACCCGAGAGGGAGGAGACAGGCCAGGGTGTTGAGCACGGGTCAGGGCAGACAAGAGAATTTGGCAAAAATAAGGAAATTTGGCCCTTTGCCCCCAGGCTGTGGGCTGCTGGAACAGCAAGAAAATCGAAGGCTAGAGGGGCCTCCAAAAGCACGGTCACAGTGCTCCCGGGGCCCCAGGAGCCACCCCTCCCATCCGCTTCGGAGGTTCAGCCTGGTCGGTGTCAGCTTAGTTTTCCTGGGTCTCGAGCCGCTGCAGGGCTGGCATCTGTCTCCTGGGCGCGTGCTCGGCTGCTCCCAGTGCCCTTCAGTTAAGCCGGAGATGAACCTCCGCGCAGCGGGAGCCGTTTCCTCCAGGCAGCCCAGGCGCGGGGTCCCGGAGCGCTGTCCGCACGGCTCCTACACCGGCTCCAGGTGTGAGGCCACGGCTCTGACGGGTGCCTTCCCGACCGGCTCCTTCCTCGTCCCGCTGCCCCTCACCGTGTGCAGCAGGGAAGGCGGGTTCAGCCCATCGGGAGTCCCACTGCTCAGGGCCAGCTCCAGGTGATCAATACGGGTCGCCAGGCACCAGGGACCCAGGGGCTGACGGGAGGACCACTGGTTCACTTTCCAGGTGTTTCCATCTCCAGGCTGAATTTCGATATTCCTGATGTTCTGAGACGGACTAAGTGGTTGGCCCCGGAAGGTGCTAGAAGGCACGACCACTCTGACTTGTTCTCTGATGACAAGTAAAGCCAAGACAGACGGGGCCCCGTAGCCCCCGATGGTGCTGGGGGTCACCCAGGCCTGCGTCTGCCCCTCAGCCCTGCAGGTTCCAGCTCAGACCGGGCAGTCTGGGGTCATGGAAACTCAGCCGGTTTGGGCATGATGGCCAGGGTTGGCTGCCAGGTTCTCATGCGGCCTGGAGCAGGGTGAGCCGCTCTGCTCTGTGCGGGGCCAGAGCCCACACCAAACATGACGGCCGTGGCCCCATGTCCAGCCCTCAGGCCATGCCCAGGACGCAGCACATCCTGTCCTGGGTGTCGAGGGCCTGCTTCATGCCAGGCTGTGCCGCCAGCTCCCCTTGTCCAGCCTCCTTCAGGGTCCGAGAACAGCTGGCTGACGGGGACTCGGGGCGTCCCACCAGAGCTCATCCCTGAGATTTGGCTCAGGAGCTCCACTCCCACCGCAGTGCCCAGGAGCCCCAGCCCGCAGCAGCAGCACCCCGTGAGCACGGATGCCACTGCTCAGGCAGCCGCTCCCATTAAGACGAAGTGAAAGGGGGGCAGCCTCGGGGTGTGGGGCCTTCGAGATTAACAAACTCCAAGCAGGCCTAAGACTCTGTCAATCCCCCAGATCCACTGAGGATCCTTGAGTCCAGAGTCCAGGGAGAGAGGGTGGGGCAAAGGCCCCTTGAACCGGCTCTGAGCCCAGTTCTGGGCCGGGGACATCTGCAGCATCCAGGGACAATTTTGACAGTCAGTAGGGTGGGAGGGGCCAGGGAAGCTGCTCAGTGTCTGTGGTGGGCTGAAGGGTGGCCCCAAAGATGTGTCCCTGTCCAAACCCCACTACATGCGTGTGGGACCTCGTTTGGAAGGGGGTGTCTGTGGATGTGGTTAAGTTAAGGACCTGGAGATAAGACCATCATGGATTTCCAAGGGGCCTCAAATCCCATGACAGGTGTCCATATGAGACACGCAGGGGAGGCCACGTGAAGACCAAGACAGAGGTTGGGGAGATGCGGCCCAGAGATGCCTGGAGCCCCAGGAGCTGGAAGAGGCAGGAAGGACCCTCCCCCAGAGCCTCAGAGAGAGCATGGCCCTGGGACACCCTGGTCTTGGAGCACCCAAGCTCCAGGACAGAAGCAGCGTGAACAGGGCACCACCCCTGGGGAGGGAGGTCGCCATCCGGCAGGGCTGGTACCACTCGGCATCCACAGAGCCGCCCAACAGAGAGTGTAGGGTCAGGGCTGGAGACACGGGGTTCAGGCCCAGCCCCGCCTGCCTGGCTCTCAATGTCCTCATCCGTCAAATGAAAGACCTCAGGGGCAGGAGGCAGATCCAGTGAAAGCTACCACCCACCACCTCTATGTGAGAAAGTGGGGCGCTTGGGGGCTGTGCTTGCCAGGGCTGGGTCCCAGGCCTATGACAGGGAAAGCCCCCAGCCCACGTGGGCCCAGGGGTGCTGGGTACGCTCAGCTTCCTGACCTGTTAAGTAACTCAACTCCACGATAGCACTTTGAGCCGGATCTGCCACTGCACTCCTAGATGGGGAAACTGAGGCACACAGGGATGAAGGGCTTGCCGAGGTCACTAAGGCGGGAAGAGGCAGCGCCCAGTGTCAGCCCAGGCCCTGGGCGCAGCCATGCCGTCCTCACACCAGAGCCCTCTGTGGCCTTGGCCAGGCCTAGTGACTCAGAATCTGCACATGCCAGCCTCTCCTGGGTGGCGGTCAGCGCCCAGCACTCAGTGACACCCAGCCCCATAGTGGACAGTGAGCTGCTGTGTCCACTGGCCTTCCTGGCTCCTGGCAGCACTGACCCTGCTCAGGCAGGGCTGGGGCATCTGCATGACCCGAGGGGCCCAGGCAGATGTCCCCACGCAGGTGCCCACTGTGAGCGCAGGAGTGTCCTGGGCCCCGGGCCTCCTGTCAAGCGCCCTGTGAGTGCACCGCAGGTGGCCCTGGAGGCCTCGGGCCAGTGGGGGATCAGCCCTCCCTGTTGCAGAGAGCTGGTAGAGCCACAGCCCCTCCCTGCACCCTGGCAGGAGGTGCGTGTCCTGGGGGGCCCAGGCCACAGCGAGGGAGCAGCCGGACCAGCAGGGTCCAGCCACTTGTGGGGGCTGTGGTCCTTGTCGGGGCTGTGGGTTCCAGGCACGATGGAGCAAGACCCACAGGCCGAGCAGCCCGGGGCTGGAGTGTTGTGGGGCCGTTTAGAGAAACTCCCTCCCTGTCGGCCCAGAACTCAGGCAGCAGCCAGTGCCCCTCGGCTGCCTGGCCCTCCAGCTGGGCGCAAACGTGACCAACGCCCTGGGGCCCCAGGTGCCCCTGCTACCCCTGAGTCCCAGCCAGTCCACCTGGTCTCCAGAACCTTCTCGACCCTCCGCCTGCTGGGCTTCCCCTCCGCGCCTCCCAATGCTTTTGCAAAGTGCAATAAGATGAATTAGCAGAAAAGGGATGGGCAGCCTGGAGTCGCAACCACGCCAGCCAGCATCACAGCGTCCAAATGTGCGTCTCCGGCACCAGGGATGTCATGGCTGTCACAGCCGCAGAGAGCTGGCTGCAGGACCTCAAGGCCGAGGAGGAGCAGGTGCGGGGCCTGCGGCAACCCTGGCAGGAAGGGCGCCGGCTGAAGCTCTGAGCTCGGGCTGCAGTCCTGGGTCCCAGCAGGCTATCTGGGAGGAACGATCTGTGGTGGATAAGAAAACAAGTGCTGGGGCCCTACCCGGGCTCAGGACGACTCACAAGTCCCTTCCGTGCACTGGCTCCAGATGCGCACTCCACTCAGACACCCATCGTCAGGGACCTTGTTGGAGCCCCCATCAAGCACCGGGAAGACGAGCTGGGGCCCCGGACACTCCTCTCTAGCAGCCCGAATGCACCCCCCCGCCCCTGTCCAGGAAGACGCCTGCCATGGCCACCCCACTTGGCCACTCTGTGCAAACGCCCCGTGTGGTCTCCCCAAAGGG